CGCCTGCCTTTTTCCTCCTAACTGCCTTGGCACCAACTTTCCTTGGCCTGGGGCATCCTTCTCCCACCATCCCTTTTGCTGGCCAAGTCCAGGTGGACTGCCAGCTCAGTTTTCCCCTGACCGCCCAGCACCAGACTCCTGCCCAGTATGACTCTCTAAACAAGGAACCAGGCATCTCCCCCCACACTCCTGGGAACTGTCTCCTGCAGACCAGGCTGGCCCTAACCCTGGCCCCAAATTGTGGGGGATGCCCCCCTCATGGCTGATCAGGAGAGAGAGGCTACTTTTGTGCTGATGTCCAGGGGCAGCAACCATGGTTCCTGCCAGGGCCATCACAGAGCGAGCCAACAGGTCCAAAGTCACACAGCCAGGCAGTCACAGTGGGGCCCTTGGTCCCTGGCTGCCTAGGGAAAGGGGCAGGAAACAGCCATACTTGTTGTCTGTAATGCTGTACACTTCAGCTGAACTGGTCAGCCCCGTGTCTGTGACCCCAGCGGCTACAAAAATGCGGCCATCGTGGACGGTGGCCCCGAAGAGGGAGCGGGCAGTCTGCATGGGTGCCAGCTCCTTCCACTCGAACTTCTTAGGGTCGTAGACACACATCTTCTTCAGGCACTTCCTGGGGGATGGAGGACAGTAAGTGAGAGGGAGGAAGCCTGAACACAGCGCCGCTCCTCTGGTTCATCCGCTCCGGACGCCTTGCCCAGGCAGCCCGCACAAATCCCCGACAGCCTGGGGAGACTGTGCTCCCGCTCTGACCTACAACCCTGCTCCTGCCCTCGCGCCAGTCCCGAGCCTCACCTGTCACTGCCTTTGCCGCCAATGACGTAGACCAGGTCCATATGGGAGAGCACCGCGTGGCCGTACACGGCGTAAGGCAGCGGATCCGATTCGCCCCATTTGAACGACCTGGAGGAGACCGGAGTCGGGCGAGCGCCCGGTTCAGAAGTGCGCTGGGTCCCTGCCTCTGCATTCACCCACACACCCAACACATATCCGGGGTACACCCGATGTATTACCGGCACCTCTCGGGCCCCCGCTCCCACACAGCGGCCCACCGCTCTGCCCTACCCAAATCCGCCTCCGCCCGCAGCCCGGGATTCTGGCCCTGGCCCTGGCCCTGGCTCGGGCCGCCGCGGTGCCCCTCAACCCTGCCCTGGGCCCCTCAACCCCGCCCCCGGGCCCCTCAACCCCGCCCCAGGGCCCCTCAACCCCGCCCCCAGCCCCAGCCCGCAGCCCCGGGCTCTGGTTTTGGCCCCCGCCGTCCTCTCAACCCCGCCCCCGGGCCCCGCCCCAGGGCCCCTCAACCCCGCCCCCAGCCCCCGCTCTCAGTCGCGGGCTTTGGCTTTGGCTCCAGCCGCGCCCCTCTAACCCCGCCCCGGGCCCCGGCTCACAGACGGTCGTAGCACATGACCGAGTCTAGGCTGCGCTCGCCGTCCTTGAGCTCTCGGCCGCCGACCACGTAGATGGAATTGAGAGCCTCTCCCAGGCCGAAGAGGCAGCGCGGCGAGGGCAGCGGCGGCATCCCCAGCCACTCGGAGTCCAGGTGGTCAAACTGCGGGTCAGGCGTCCAGTCAGCCACCGGCCCCACACCCCCTACTCTCCCAGCCCAGCCCAGCACAGCACAGCCCCGCCACCCTGGGTCACAGACGAGGCCAGGTCTCCAGGTAAGGCCAGCGCAGCCTGGAGGCCATCCCTGGAGGCAGTACCCTAACCTCCCCCCAGGATGAGAACCACGGAGGGCCCCCGGAGATGGGAGCCCAGAGACCACATCACGGCACCAATGGGGCCCCCCACGCAGAGCCATGTCCCTTCCCCAGTACAACTCGGGAACTGAGGCCTGCCTGCCCTCCGTTTTCCACCCAACCCCACTGTACAGAAAACTGTACAGCTCTACCAACCATCCCCAA